TTAGATGCCAAGTCCATTTGTGTATGCTTGAGGAATTGATTGTTGATTGTTTTCATTCCGGATTTGTCTCAAACTGCCGTTGTCCTTTTTCACTAAGATCTTGCAAAGCAATGAGCTAAAAAATTTGTTTTCTTTCAAGATTTGGGCACGGTCAGTCTCAGATTTGTTTTTATTTGGAAGGTTTCGCCCATTGTATTGCCGTGTCAAACAATGGACACATGTTATCCTTGTTAGTTATACTTATGAGTTGTGACTTTCCTAGTCCTGGTAGTTGTAAACGCCCAAGTGGTTATCACAATATTATGAGATCATCAAGTCAGTTTGGCGGCGTTCTTTTGGCTACAAAAGTCAGTTTGGGGTGTTCAGAACAGTCATTTTAACAGAATTAGAGAGACAAATATCTCAAGTTGTCTTGTGTCTTATAAATTATTGAAGTGGCAAAGCTGCAATTATAGCATATGATTTCACCTTTGAAACGAACTTTCCTATGGAAGTGAGGCGTTCCTGTGTTTGGATAAGTTAAGATATAAATTATCTATTTGATTGACAATGTTCCTTTAAGCTTTATTGACACAATGTAAATGTTACATCACTTGACAGATACTACTCATGTATGGACATGTGGAGAAACTAGCAGAAGAAAATAATTAAGAAAGGAGCTTCATCTATAGAAGGAGTTGAGGCTAAACTATGGCAGGAGCATGTGTCTGTTTAATTTCGTTATCCCATGCATTGCAAATTTTCACTGCATGAAAAAGTAATCAGCAAGCTAAACCAGTCCCATAGCGAAGGCTTATTGCTCTATGAAACAGATTTATGGTTGATACCCTCACTATGAAATTGGTTTAACTCAATACTGTGTTCCTTTCTGTTGGCTAAGCTCCTTCGTTATGGTAGAAAGGTCTCAATGCCTTCCTGATTCATGCTTGCTAATTTTGGGACGGACATTAAAGAATTCATTAGGAAAAGTAAGATGAAGCAACCAGGCTGACTCTATTGAGCTTCTGAACAGGTACCTGAGACACTACCAGAGGAGGTGCTTGGAAAGATGAGTGCGCCACCCAAGAGTGATGTCCCAATCATTACTCCTAATGAACTAGCAGAGGCTGATGGTTTGTTTTTTGGTTTTCAACAAGATTTGGAATGATGGCTGCTCAGTTCAAAGCATTTTTAGATGCAACTGGAGGATTGTGGAGGACACAACAGCTTGCAGGCAAGCCTGCTGGGATCTTCTTCTGCACTGGATCTCAAGGTGGTGGACAAGAGACTACAGCGTAAGAGCCTTTCCTCGAGAATTTAGTTTCCTCATCAAATCCAAAATGGATAACGAAAAAGGAAATTGTTTTAAGAAATTATGAATTTTATGACAGGTTAACTGCCATCACTCAGCTGGTTCATCATGGGATGATATTTGTCCCAATTGGATACACATTTGGCGCCGGCATGTTCGAGATGGAGCAAGTGAAAGGTGGAAGTCCATATGGTGCAGGAACTTTTGCCGGTGATGGCTCAAGACAGCCGACTGAGCTGGAGTTGGAGCAAGCATTCCATCAAGGAAAATATATTGCCACCATCACAAAGAAGCTCAAGCAAGCTGCATAATAATGTTAGGTCAACCAGACATACTATTTATCAAGGATAAATGGATACAAAATTATTGCTTTAAAACTGTTTCCCATTTTTTTAGCCATAGAATGTAAAATTTCTATTTTTCTGATCTGCTTGCAAGTAATAACTATTTTCATTTTTCTTTATTATAGAAATGATTTCTATGGGTGTTACACAACCCAAATGGTTGTTGCTATCTGCGAATGTGAGAAAGTTTGTATTGCATTGTATTGTATTGTCCTTTCATTTTGTCTGAAAAAATGCCTGTTTCCTTCTATTGTACTCCCTTTTCATGAATTCTAGTTCAATAAGCAAGCAAATAAAATGATAAGACTTTGTCCATGATTTCTCAACATTTTCCTTTATCTCTATCAATTTTTGGTTGACCAATTTTGATTATGGCAGTACCGATAATACCCTCCAGGGGGACACTAAGTAGGCAGTGGCCACACAGCAAGGAAATGTATTCTGATACATACTTGTTTATCCTTTCTCTTTATTGTGAAAGAAACACAGTGACATGTGATTCACAGAGCTTTTGTGTATTCTTGTCCATTTATGTCCCATTTACCCCTTCCCATCATTGGTTTGCGTCGACTTGTTTCTACTTGTGGCTTTGAAGCATCTAATACCACCATTTCTTCACAGAGGCACCTGCCTATTATCTTTTTGTAACTAGCTAGCCACGCCCATGAATTTTAGCAACAGTTTGTTTTGGGTCTCCTATGGCATTGTCGTTTTCAAAACATGATGAAGAGGATCTGACATACACATGACATGTTCAGGAAAAAAAATCTGGTAATGGAATCTGCAGTAAAGTTAACTATGGTGTCAGGTCAAGTTCTATAATATAATAATAAGCTAAGCTCACTGTTTTATCACCTGTTTATATAAATGCTCAGCATGATGAAGAGCAATAAGTGAAATCTAAGCTAAAAATTATCCGCAGACTTTGTGTTAGGTAAAAAGGTATAGAAATTATGGAATCATTAGACATTTCATAGAGGCCAAAATAACCTAAAGATTCTGTTCTTCCACTTTCTGATCCAAAACTTTGACGTCTAACATTCACTTATTAGCAATCATGTTTTAGCATCAGGACACAAACTATTAAAGACAAAGGAAAGGAGTTTTCTTAACAGCTAAAAAAGGTAACTGTGCTAAAATAATGTAAAATGAAATTTACCGTCTTCTAGTCCTTAGATAGGAAGCGGCATATTCATGGGAACAATCACTCCTGAACTGTGAACATGATAATCAAACAGTGAGAAAACAAAAATCCACTGCGGAAAAAATATCAGGACCCGAAACACCAGTTATTTTCAAAATCCTTGCGCTTGAACATACTGATCGTTATATAGTAGTGAGAAAGAAACAGTATTGAGGGGCTCCTCGTTTACTTGTATATCTTTGTGCCAAAGGATCTTTCACATAAATAAACATGTCGATCAGGAGGATGATAACAGATTCCCACTGTACACAATCTATGTAAGATGAATGTACAAACTCAGGCTATTGTGACGGAAGAGAAAAGATTGAATCATTGAAGTCACATTTGACAGTTTCTTAATGAAGACAAAATTTGCAGAAAGAAATACAGGGAAACATAAGGAGCCCCATGACAGGCTAGCTTTGTTAGCATAATAATGACTAATGCTTAGATGCTCTTTCTTTGCACTAATATATGTTCTAATCTTGCTTCACAAGTTAGAAAGTGAGATTTGGTAAAGTACTTTAAATCAGAAGGCTCCAATTCCCTGGCCCAGGAGCAACATTAGTAATCATTCTCCGTCCAATAGCTGCAAAGTCATAACTCAACCGGTAAAGTGATCAAGTTTAAAATCAGAAAACTTTGCGAGCACGTTCAAGGTAATAACATAGTCATATATAATATTAGTTTTTATTTTCATAGACGGAATTTACAAATATATGTGCCAATCATGTAGCTTGGATTGTTGTCATTATATCTGTAAACAAAAATTAAAAAAAAAAATAGGAAGATCAGAGGAGAATACCTTTAAAGGTCTTTTTTTTAACGATGTATTATTATTCCGAAATATTGGTTCAAAGTTTTCTGTTACAGGGAAGTTATTTACAGAATATTGCGCATAATTAATATATAGTAAAGAAGAAAGAAAGGCCTTTTCTGAATTTTGAAGAGGATAAAGTAACGAGGGGTTTTCTCTCCTCCCTCCATATACTTCCAATAGAAGACCCTTTATGTGACCATTCGGTATAAAGCACAGAAGCATGTGCGAAAAGCATCTGCAAGATATATATTTTATTGCAAATTATTTCTGGTACATGAAAGTTAATTGAAACTAAAATATGGAAAGAGAAGGTGTGGGCCACCCTCTGACTTCCACTTACATATTCTAAAGATATAAATAAATCAGTGAGATTTCCAATCAAAAACATATCCTCACTAACCAGTCTTATATTGAATACTATATCTCAAATTCCTTCCTTCGATTAGATTTTTTTTTTTTTAAGGCAGTGCCAACTATATTAGCAATATATGTAGTAACATGGAATTAAAAAAAATAGCTCTCTGTTTTCTCCTACAAACAACAAATTTCCTTCTAGTTTAGTCTAACAACAATCCCTACATTGAGCAACCTTGTCCTTCCTAATCACACTTTGCCACCCTCAGCATATAATTCTTCAATTATTACAAACTAATATGGTTCAGCTGGTCCCAATATTTTGCCACACCCTGCATCATTCTGCATTCGGCTGGCCCAACAATGGCCTTTTTCTCTCTCTTTTGGAGGGTCATCTCATCTTTCTTTCCTCCTTTCCTTCTCTGCTATCATATTTTCCCTCTCTTTCTCTCTCTCTAGCCAGATGTGCAGAGGTGACAACTTTACAAATTTATGTGGGCTTCTGTGTCTTCTCTATCTTTGATGTTATGAAAATCTTATCGTCCCCAACTTGAACAGGTTTGATAAGATATTTGTGTCCTAGTTTCGTGCACCAATTTGTCACCGTTAGTTATCTGAACGTTCCTCCGAATGTTGGCGTCCAAAAATCAACTGCGGTTTCTTGAGTCACTGGAAACGTACTCGACATCGGCACCAGACATAGACCTCTGCTTCTCAGATCTTGCTTCCCACCGTCGCCTTCTTTAGATTTACCAGGACTCTGTATTTATATTTTCAAAAAAAAAATTACGTAAAATAAACACGGCTGTTCTATAGGTTGTGATGATTTAACTATAAAACTAGTATCATTATTACCTGTTGATGCTGTATGGGAGCTCCACTTTTCATTACGGTGTGCTTAAAACCTAGAAAAGAAAAAGAAAAGAAAAGCATGTAAGGATAAGACGAAGCTTTGTGCTATTATTTTAATCATATAATTGCACAGTAATAGGTAATGGGGGTTACTGTCACTTGTTCATGGAGGAATTTGATGTATTCAATGGCTTCAGAGAGCACCGAGGCTGTATCGGTCTGGCACAAACAATATCACAAAGTATTTCAAAACCCATTGATATAAGTTGCAATTGTGTGTGTGTGTATACGTATATGTAAATATATATATATATATAATTCTGTGATCATGAAATTTGCGAGGAGTAAATGAATGATCATTCTCATCACCTTTCCGAAAGGCGAAACCAATTGTTGAAGCGCAGTGATTCTGTCCCCCATCTTCTCTTTTCTTACCTGTTAATTAAAACCCGAACTACGGCTTCATATATCCATGTTTATGGATTCAGATGCAACGAAAGACAAAATCTTAAAAAGAAAAGAAACAGCAACAATGATGATAAGATAAAACGTCCTTTCTTGTCAAAACGAATTGATTACCTTAAACGCTGGCAAAGGAGACGGTGTTTCGTTCCGAGGCCTTTTGGGTGTGCTGCCTCGCTCCCACTTTTCTTCACCACGCTACTCGACTCCCTAACTTCACACATATTCTGCAAAACCTCACGTTTATGGTACATTAATGCATTAACCACAAAAACACACTAAAAGATATTATAGAGTAGTGTGATGGTAATGAACCATACCTTGGATTGAACATCGAAGCTTGGAGAAGGGAATGGAGGTTGCAAAGAGGGAAAGAAGCCAGATCTAGCATCTTAATATTTGAGGCCTCAGAAGCGTTCCAGAAAGGAGCGTTGTTTGTGAAATGCAACTGATTGTTATTATGGGGTGGTTGTTGTTTTGGAGGTGAAGCTCGCAGAAATTGAGGAACTTTATTAGACCATGAAGGCATTAACTGATCGTTACTGTTCAATCCGTAGCTTGTTTGGTATGGAAAGTTTATCTGGCGATTCTGGTGATGATCATACTGGACTTGACTATTGTTATTATGATCAGGTGGTAATAGTCCTTGTAATATGGATGAGTTGCCATAAAAATCCACCTGAAAGTTAGTACTAGATGCTAAGCCTTGGGTGGTTACAGTACTTTCCCCAGAACTATATTGAGGACTAAACTGCGTTTGATCTAAAGAGAAACCCCGGTTTACTTGTTTGAACTCGTTCGTTGAAGAAGACGACTCAGCAGAAAACAACTTGTCCCTCCACTGAATTGAGACAACCCCATGGCACTTTCTTGCTGAAAATTCGTGCTTGATGCGTTCAAGAAACTGCTCTCCCCACCTTTCTCTGCACCTCGGCTAAACGACATGCACAAAGTTACAGACTTTTCCTCACGGAATCAAGTTCCGTACCCATCATTAACATAATATCAAAAGAAAGGAGATCTTTATGGAGTGCTGCACTTACAGAAAGGAGGGTTGATTCCAGTCCAGAGGTTGGAAGAGAGGCCTAAACCCATCATATGCAGGTTGGGGGTCGGAGGAAGAAGGTGAAGCCGCCATGGAAGACCTTGGCTTGAGGTCTTGATGAGACGACATATCTGTATGTTGCCAAGCGAAGTTGGGGATGGAGGAGGAAGATGAGAGAAGCCTCAGTTTCGAACCTGGAGTTTCTGGCTGAGTCCCACCAGTTTCCAGTGGCTTGAAATTGATCTTCCGCCATGGCTGGTTAGTGAAGATGGTGGTGGGTGTGGCTGCTTCTTAAGAGCATCAGATTCTTCTTCTTTCTGAGAAGAAAATGAATTTAAAACGGTTCGCAACTTCGCAATATTTATATTGGGAGGTGAAGAGTGAAAGAACAGGTTGAGGGAGAATGAGGGCAACAGGACAATTCAGGGAGCGCTTGATTAGACGGGAGAATTAAAAGCGTCTTTTTTTAACAAAGAAAAAAAAACTGAATTTCTTCGATTCTTTTTTTATTTACTTTCTCTTTTGAGTTTTGACTCTATTTGGTTAAAATGCTCAATTATATATTTTCTGCCGAATATTGCTGGTTTGCTATCAACAATCAATCAATTATATTCTACAAATCTCATTAAAAAGAAAGCTGCACTCTCTCATCAGCACTTAGATCAATAATAATTGACTATTTTAAAATTAATCTCTAAGAAATATAATTAGATTAAATGCTTTTGAAAATTAACTTTTAATAATTTTATTAACTTATTAATGTTTGATCGGTGCTATTTAATTTCCTCAACTAATTGCTTTGTTTCCTTCCATCGGGACGTCCCTTTAATATTACCTCCTTTTAATGTTTGCTGCTTTTTTTTTTTTGGAAAAATAAAACTTGAATTTAAATATGCATAAGATTGAATTTTTTTTTTTGTTTTAAATAGACTAATGAGTTACCCTAATAGTCTTTTCTTTTCTTACATTGGGCGAAAAGAATAAAAGTATCGTATAAAAAGGATAAAAGGGCGTATCATAAACCTCCATGAACACATATTGGTAATCAAACATGCTTTCTACGTACATTGGGAGTAGATAATCATAGAATAATTATTATAGTTTCACTCCTTTAACTTATTATTACATATATATATATATACATGTTGGCAAAAAAAATTATTTTATATACACACAGAGACTATAATGGATTCAAATATTAAGTCAAACATTTTTTCGAATTTAAAATGAAGATTGAACATACAATAAAGCAACAAACCAAAAATTAAAAAATCTTTAAAACAATTATAAAATTCCGATAGAGAGAATTAGGGGTGTGAAAACAGGTCAAGCGATCTATTAAAAACCTATAGCCTAGCCTATATTTAGCCTGGTCTGTTTCAAAACAGAAAAAGACTTAGCCCTCTTTGATGGTCTATTTAGCCTAAGAGGTGAGGCCCAAAGCCTGTTAATCCTGTCATGTTTGGCTTGGTCTGCTTACTATCTTAATTTAAATTTTAAGTTGGTACTTATATCTAGTCTTATTTCAATTTTTAATATATATACTTATGACTTGTTTTTAATAATATTAACCGTAATTATAATTTCAAATATTACTTATGAGATTAAAATTTAAATAAAATATAACAATAAAAATAATTATTATATAGTATGTATATTTTACTTTTTTTTATTAGTCTATGTATTTTTTACCATGCATTTTGAAATTTTTAAAATTACAAGTTGTTTAATAGGCTTAGGCCAGGCCAGACTCAAGCTGAAAAAAACACCTATAACAAGTCACAGGTCAGGTTCAAGCCAGCTTGTTGCTAAACAGACCTGGCTTGTTAAGGATAAAATATGGTCTAACCTGACCTATTTCCACTCCCAGAGAGAATAGAGTTTGTAATTCCCTAAAGTTGTACTTAATCAACTCAGATCAAGATTCTTATAATTTTTTCATTAAGGAGTCAATTATAGAATTATGGCCGATTTTGATAACAATAACTATTTACCAAATGTTATTATTGTCATACTGATGAGACAGCATTACTTACATTAGCAATATGTCATCTGCGAAAATCTTAATTAAAGTTTATCATATATTTTTTAAGGACTAATTTTTGAATAAAAAAACTAAAGGGGCCTTAACTCAAATTAGTCATAAACTCTCTGAAAAGCATAAAGTTATTTTCCTACCCTAATATAGTACTTGCATTTTTTACTACAGAAAAGGCATTAAAAATTGGATGTTTTAGTGAAAACAAATGAAATATAATTGGAGTTGAAGAGCTTCTTTTAAAAATAAAAATTAATGATGGATTGATTAAACAATTACTGAACTCCCAAAATATAGAGCAAATTCAGTTAAAAATAATACGGAGTAAATAGAATAGAATCTTCCGGCGACAATTTAACTTTAATTAATGTTCTTAATTAGTGAATATTACAATAATTGATATGTGTGTATATGTGTTGCATCACCTTCACCTCCTTAACATTCATCCAAAAAGCTAAATTGGATTATTGTCTCTCTCAAAAACTCTGACTTAAAAACTGCATGTAAGTTATTAAACAAATACAACTAGGGGATGTATTAAAAAACGACTGAATATTTACAATTTCTCGACATATAAAAACACAGGTATATTCGTTGAGACAAAAAATAAAATGCGAATTTAAAAAAAAATCATCAATCAAAAGTATCATATATGATATATAAACAATACAAAAACTATAATAAGTTGTATCAGGCATAACCACATAAGTGTATAACTTCCTCCATTCTTAAATATGAGCCCTAAATATACAGATTTCTAGATATAATTAATTAATTAATACTTATGTTCAATTTTTTTTAATAATACATAGATTTGGATACCTCCTTAATTTGCGTATTTTTTGATATTAGGTCTTATATCTGGCACAGAGTGTGTGTATATAACTTAGACGAAAGTACATTGACATTGTAAGTAATCTTACCTCTTATAAAGAGGATAACATAAGTTTGAATCTCAGAAAACGTATTTATTAGAAGAACTTTAACTTGAACTTTCCTTCTCATGTCCAAAACGATTTCAAAATACTCTGATTTATAAAAATAAAAAAAAGAAGTAAGTAATATAAATTAAAATATGCAGTGATCAGACGACCGAAGCGTCGTAATAAAATATTTTAAAATACATCATCAACCAAGCCGAAAATGAAAAACTGTGGTATAGAGTATCCGCAGGGGGACAACTGGCTGGAAAGACCATAGTTTAATTTGTAAGCATACGTCGTAGCAACTGTTTTTTTTTTTTTTTGGGCGTGAGTAGTCAAATTTATTGAGGAATCATAATCAATATATATATATATATATGCACACTCTATATTACGACATTTTAATGCCCTTTTGTTTTAGGAATCGTGCCTTTATTATGACAAGGTTGAATTGTGGCGGGTAAAACCGAGTTGAATATTGTGGGTCAAACCACAATTTGAAGCCCTTATGTCATTCTGCACCACTAATTATGTGTATTTTTTTTTGGCCAACACACTAATTATATATAATTGATTCATATTTATTTCAGAGTATCAATTTTCAGAATGCTGATCATTATACTTAATTAAATATAAGAAATTAAAGTCAGACACAACCACTTTAGACGTTCCCTATAAAAACCTGTAACTGAAGAATTAAATTAATTAATTATTTTCAAAAGTTATGATTAATCGACTGTTTAAGGTTCCAGATCATAGAAACACCCTATAAGGACGACGAGAAATGCCTAAGGGAAGTGAGATGGGGAAAAATTGTAACGCATCAATATCGAAAAACTCTAATAATAAAAACATTACTTTCTTTTTTCATATTTTTTATTTTCTCAAAATTCATTTTGTATATGGAAAATTCAGCCAGGAATTAGGCTCGGGTAAGTCTTGGAAGGAAGGGAAAGCATGGAGGCTGGCATTTGACAAAATTCTCCCAAAAAGTAAACATTTTTATTCTGTACGCAACGGCAAGAGGAAAAAACATGTACATGGTCGCAGGTTGGTGAAATACTCTTATACGTCTTCTTTCGTTTACTTTTTCCCATCAATCCATCTGCATAAAGTCAATTTCTTATTAGGCCCCCAGACGCCACGCCAATTCATTTTCTT